CTACCCTCGCCTTCCATCTGTACATTACTATTACTATATTCCTTTAACCGTTACATTTCAGAAATTTAGCACACTGACGACTAAAGCTCAGCCACCACTGGCTCCTGCACGTACTCCTACGTACTAATAGTTAAATAGAGGGGAAATTCATTCGAGGAAATTTTTTCGAAAACGGGCAGCTATATAGCAGCAACTTTTCGAGACGTCCAACGCAAGATTTCTAGTTAAATAGAAGAGAAAATTCATTGGAGGACGGGCAGCCACCAACTTCTCACATTCTGTTGGTACCACTGTTAACCCGCGCCTGCGCCCCTCTGGACTGCCCATTGTTGTTGGCAACCGCGCCCGTCCGCCCGATTGCCTCACCGGTTCGTAGCCTCGCAGGAGACGGCACTCGGTCCTCTTTCTGGGCAGGACTACGCTGAGCAGAAGGTATTTTTGGAGAAGCGTGGAACCTGTGATCTAAGCAACGGTAGAGAAAGAAAGCCTGATATTTTGAATCAGGCGTAGTCTATGATCCATGAGCAATGTTTTAAAAACCCCAGCCGGCCCGATCAATGTCAGGAATAGCCGTGAACGTAAGTTATTCTGACGTGTTCAAAGTCCGTCTGAAGGTTAGTGGCGACGTATATTTATTTAATTTTCCGGAAAGCCAGACTCGAGCGCCAATAAATTGAAAGTGTTCCGCATTATACTCAAAAAGCCCTTTCCAATGGTATAGAAGAGTGACTTATCGGCTCTGAGTCACTGTTCTATACTATAACCCATACTTCTAAGCCATTTCCAAGTACAATATTGAGAGCATGTTCCTGACTGGCCGAGCGCTTACCCCCTCTACCAGCGTGGCGTAGAGGCGGGAAATTCTCGACCAATCGGTAACGTTTATGTTCTACCCACCCTTCTTCTTCCTCAGTTAGACGAAATACACTGTTGTCGGCCCAGGTAAGATCGGTGCGATTCCTGAGCGACCTGTATTTCTTTTGTTCTCCGCACTGTAAATTGCTTACGAACTATAGGTTCGTAATGCAGACCAAAACGTTCGTAGCTTACAAAGGATTTTCAAGCGTTGTATTACGAACTAATTGTTCGTAAGCTTACGAACAAATAGTTCGTAATGCAAAGCGATTGTTCGTAAGGCCCGTCTAGCTTTTCAAACAATCGCTTTGCAACACGAACAATTTCTTTGCAATAGAAAGAACGAAAATTGTTCGTAACATTGCAAAGTATTTAGTTCGTAAGCTTTTTACAGTGCGGGTTCGAGTTCGGAGGTCTCTTCGGTCACCACCCGTAACTCGAGAATGTAACTCAGAATTATTGCCCATATCCAGTACATGTTGCGTCAGACCAGCTCCACGCGCGCTTACGTGCCCGTGCACGTGCACGCTCTGCCTCGCAAGGCCAACCCATCCGGCTGGGACGTGAACTGGACCAACAATCCGGCCGTCTGCCAACTGGCGCCCGGCTCCGCAAACTGCAGGGGATAGGCTTCTACAAATTTATCTACATGGTGCTTTTGCGGTGTGATTTTATTAAGAACGACCGTATGAAAGTGTTTCAAACTGATTTCAGACCGCTCTGGCTGGAACTTGTGCCTTTTTGGACACGATTTGTTTTTACTTGACAAGGTTTTCTATCATTTGATGGAAGTCTGTTGGCCCGAATCAGATTCTGATGAACCTTCATCAATTGAGTCATGGTGCGATCTTTTGGAACTACCCAGAGATTTCTCTTCACTGACTGGCACATCATCAGCAAACGGGTCGTCTTCTTCTTCGTCCTCAGCACCGTCCACTACATCGTCCACATTGACCTCATCCAGATTGAGTCCTTTCATTTGTTCGAAGTTGCCTTGGTCCATGTTTAGCAGGGTTTTTGGCTAAGCGATTAGCGAAGCCCATTACTCCACTGACCGGAAAAGTTTCATTCTGTTTGTTTGTTTGTTTGTTTGTACGCACGATAACTTGAGAAAGAATAGGGTACCTCAATCGAGCGCTGGGGCGGAAGTAAGAAGAACAAAAACGGAAGGTGGAAGGCGCCCGGGCCGGCCCCCTCCCCGCCCGGCAGCAGCGGCTGGCTCCCCCACTCCGGTAGGGCACCCGAAAGAATTTAGGAGCCATGTGACGTCACGGATTTCGGCGGTTTGGCGCGGTCGCCGGTCGGTGTGGAGACGGGGTGCAACGGGTTTACCGGTAAGAGGGATTATTAATGGTGTACCGGGGATAACGCGGTTTTTGTCACAGAATGTTAGTGAATAGTTTTGTTGGGGTGTATGTACCTTCGAAATTGTGTCCGGATTCACAAATTTTATCGGGTAGACCCGACTGATGGATTACAGTATGTAATGGTGTGGGACGGGCTATTTTTGAAGAGGATTTGATGCGTTCTGGCAAGTTTATTTGCATTGGTGCGGGCTTTTAATGATTATCTAGGCCAATATTATTTTTTGGTTGATTTGAAGCTGATGGGGAAATTCGAAAATTTGGTTTTTATCATAGGGAAAATAGTGAAATGAACCCGACACCTAACCGATAGTTTCGATGTCGGATCGGTCGGATGTGGTGTTCGGCATGGATAGCAATGTAAAAATACAGACTTTCGACTCAGCACTGAAACCCCGTTTGCAATTTATCCGCATTTCTAGTTTTCATTTTCATGTAATTTGTTTTTAGTCATGTGGCCCTTTCAATTTGATTGTTTAGGAACAGGAACATCCAAAGGTTAGTAGTAAGTTCTGGTGGTATACAGTCTTAAAGTCCTCCTCCGCCGGGCCGGGCCGGAAGGTCGTGCGCGCCGGCGGACGCAGTTACATCCTGTTTGAAGAGAAATGTCTCGCTAACTCCTCAATCAAAGTAAGTCCTTTAAATATTCCACTCTTGCTGCTATACAATGCTATGAATGTCGTGACATTTATTCATATCTTTTCAGATGTTAGTTATTCACCGGAGCCACCATCCTCAAGGCAAAATTGTTGGCTACAGAGTTTACGTGACACCACCACTTCCACCTCTTTCAGTGGATACTAAGGACCCTTGCATGTCAATAAGGCACAAATTTAAGGCCAATATTAATAATAATTCTTTTCCGGTAAGTTTGACACTTTCTCCAGAATTTTCAATAAAATATGATGCCAGATCAATTATTTTTCACTGTATGTTTAGGTTGTTTCCCATTACATTGTCACCTCTCAATCGGGAAATTCAGTTACACTCCTTCAGCTACTGATGGGCCTGCTGAATGTGATATTATGGTCCAAACCCCTCTCTACTGCCCTTCATTTCAACCATACAAAACAACTAATACTTCTATCACAAGTAAGAAACAGTTTTTAAAACCTCTTTTAGTGAAATAGAGCTATATCCACAAATGTATTACAAATTGTTTTGTTAGATGCTGTTTCAGTCCCCAGTCTCCTGGATTAGTGTTTTTAAGTTGGAGCTTGGTTCAAGAAATTCTTTTAACGATATGTACTGTCTTCTCAAAGATTATAGGTAAGATGATAATTTTAGCATCAATGAAAAGTACCAAACACTAAGTTCTTATGTTTACCTTTGATATTTACAGCAAGCCCCCTCCCAAAGTAACTGGATTTGGAGCTGTTGTGATTGGAGATAGTCAATTATCTGTTGAATTGGAATAGGGTGCTGTTACAGATGATCAAAGCAAAAATTGGAAATGTGGAACACACTATGGGCTTACGGTGAGTGAACTCTTGGAGATCGAGTACCTTCTAATAATGAGACGATCCAATTCTAGCATCTTGTATCATCCAATTAATTCATTTCGCTTCATTTACATTTTTCTTTTTTTCTTCTAGAGGCAAGACTTGAAACTTATGAAACCAGAGCTGTTGTAATGGATTTAACATGTGACACTTATCTATTTGCCATCAGACTTGTTGGTTCCCTTGGCTTTGGTCTTCTCTCTACAGTGCCTCCTTTCCATTTGATTGGCACTGTTCAATATCATCAAGCTCTGTATAGGCATTTAGGTGTCAGATCAGCAAAGATTCCTGTTTCAAATGACAAATTTATTATAGTGCATTGGAATGCATCATGCCTAAGCTTTAATGATAGCTGTTCTCAATTAGGGATGGAAAAAAACCGTTTTTTTTAAACTATCGAAACATACCGGTTTTATACCGAGGAAAAAAACGTAAAAAACCATTTTTTTTGGAATTTAACGATTTTTCGCTTAAAAACATCTAAAAATTAGCTAGAACCCTTATTTAGCCGGAAAATGCTGTTTTTAAAAAAATAAGTCGTTCGTCTGTGCACAGATTCTTCACGTGCAGCACTTGCTACAATCACAGTTGCTGGATATTCTTTGTATTAGGGTGCGTTTCGTGGGTTTCGCGTGTGTAGCGCTGTCTGCACGGTGGGTTTCGCGTGTGTAGCGCTGTCTGCACGGATTTCTCATAACTACTGCGGCCCTACTAGTCTCGCGCGGGGCTGCCTTTCCGTATTTATCTGAATACTCTCAGAGTATGTGTCATTTTAGACAACAAGCGATGACATGACTCAGCAACGACGAACAACTGAACTGACATCAAGAAAAGAAGGCGTAGAGTTGTGTGTGTGTGTGTAAGCGCGAGGGGGAGCGGAGGCGAATTGGCAGAAATTTTATGCAACTACAGATCTGAGTGAGTATCTAATCTTCGGAATCGTCTTAGCGTTAACCAATAACATGCCGTTGTTTTTTTAAATATAAGGAAAACTTTGATTAATTTTTGATGTGGGTCGGTGCGGTATAACTAACAACCTAACCCTACTTTCTCCTTTATTTGGATGTTAAATGATTGCCTTGTTTTTTTTTCAGGTTGTTTTTGTCAAAGAACTGCCATGCCACCGCAAAGAGGTGAGATTTGGAAACAATATACCAAAGTTTATGATGCAGCTGGAAAAGTCACTCAAGCCTGTTGTAAACATTGTGATAAGGGAAAGTATGCTTCTCCCAGCGCCACTAGACTTGCACAACACATAACTAAATGTAAGGGCTGCCCAACACCAATAAAGACTCACTTTATTGCTGAAATCGAAAAGAAAAAGGGTAAGTTTTCAAAATATTTTTAATTTATCATTTATTATAATAATTGTGGTAACAGTGACAGTGACAACAGAAATTATTAAATTCTTTTGACTTGCAGGTAAACAGAATGACAATGGTGTTGATGTGGACAGCGATGAAGAGGAGTTTGTCGAGGACAATCCTCCTTCTGTTTCACCTTCCAGTGGATCAAAGCGTACAACAGAAAATGCTGCTCATGCGCCACTCCCTGCAAAACGACAAAAATCTCTCACCACCTGCTTAGATGTTGTATCGAAAAAGGAAAAGGAGAAACTGGATGCATTATTTTCTAGAGCTTTATATTCAAAAGGGCTATCATTTTCTGTGTTTGAGGGAAAGCACATGGAAGCTGCATTGAGTGCACTTCGACCTGCATATAAAATGCCATCAAGAAAATCGTTTGCTGGGCCACTTCTGGAACAAGAATATACTTCAGTAATGAAGAGAGTTAATGAAGAAATATTAAAAGCAAGAAGTCTGACAGTGCAATTAGATGGATGGAACAATAATAGGCACGAAGGTATCGTAAATTTTGTTGTTTCTACACCTCAACCGTTTTTCTACAAGGCTATTGAGCCTGGCACTCAACGTGAAAATGCTGTTTATCTATCTGATAATATCTTAGTTGTTTTAAATGCTGTGAATGCAAACAAAGTTCTACTTCTTGTAACTAACAATGCTTCTGCCATGAAGAGGGCATGGGCCCTAGTGCAACAGGTTCACAAGCATATTTATGCCATTGGATGTGGCAGCCATGGGCTAAACCTGTTATTTAAAGACATTGTCAAATTGCCTGTCTTCAAAGATCTCATCAGCAACGCCAAAGAAATTGTCAAAATAAGAAAGCGGAGGCAACTTCATGCTATCTTTAAATCCAAACAAAAGCAGCACTATGGAGAAAAGTCAGTAAGTTTAGTTTTACCTTCTCCAACTAGATTTGCTGGAGCATATTTCTTACTGTTTTCACTTCAAAAAAATAAAATTGCTCTTGGAGAAACAGTACTTACTGACGAAGTAGAAGTGCCCCCAGAAGTAAGAAAAAATGTGCTCGACAATGAGGATCATGGGTTTTGGGCAACTCTCTCCTTTTTTGTTAAATTCATCCAGCCTGTGGTTGAAGGTACTCATCTCATTGAAGCTGATGACGCCAGACTCTCCCATATGGTTAAAATCTGCATGAACATAACAAATTTGACAGATGCAGCTTTGAATGAAGAATCAATCATTCCCCTGGGTGATATTACTAAAATCAAAAATTCTGTTGCTAATAGAATAAGCAAGTTTTGTGTATGTGATATACATTTAGCTACTTATCTCATCGACCCTGGTTTTGTTGGTGAAGGTTTGACTGATGCAGACTGCCATCGTGCCATGGAAGTCATTGAAGGACTTGCTAGGCACCTAGAATTAAATGTAGATTTAGTTATTGACAACCTAGCTGAATTTAAGACCAAAACCAATTTCTTCAGAAATGAAAAAATGTGGAGCCGCTCCCTCAGCATGCATGCCATAACATGGTGGGACTTTTTTTGCTGCAACCAGCCTTTGCACCCAATAGCAGTACGTTTACTGAGTTTGCAACCCTCAGCATGTCCATGCGAAAGAGTTTGGTCGGAGTATGGCTATGTACACAACAAGGTGAGAAATAGGTTAGGCAACAAAAAAGTAGAAAAAGAGATTGCTGTAAAACACAACCTCAATCTATGTGAACCACTGACTGAAGAATAGAGAAAGAAAAAAAATGAACTAAGTGCTGAAAGGGAGAAAAAAATTAGAGCTTACCCATGTGCATCTCTTTTTGATAATGAACAAGATGATGATGAGTGGAACTGGAGTGATGATGATGATGAGGGTGGAGCTGAGCAGGCACCTATATGGACTTCTGATGAAGAAATCGAAGAATCCTCAAGTGACGAATTGAACAATTCTTCGGAAGATGAAGAAAACCTGTAATTTTATTTTTTGATTAACAAACATATAAGATACAAGTTCAAAACTTTGTGATATTATTAGTCCAAACAAAAGTATTTTATCTACTCACCTACATTTAAGAGCAGAACTGACTTTATTTGTAGTACTTTTGTTTTTATGTTGTAGTGTACTTATGCCAAACAAGTATTATAAATACTTAGCCTAAGAAAAGAGTGAGTTTATGATTATTTTTGTCTTGTTGTAGTCTACTACATATTTATTTTTATTACATTTGACTCTTGGTTAAAATTGTGATTGTTTATAATATTTTAGTTGTTTTACATGCTTACATAATTTCATTATAATGTATGTACATGTTTTAGTTGCTCTTGTCATGTTTCTTGTCATGTTTTTACAGTTTCTGTTGTGTGGAAAGTGGAAGTGAACCCACAGAAATAAAAATTGCAGCACAACTATATTTGTTAAGATTATTTACTGGCATTACTGATGTTTAAAAAGATTGGGTTGGATGGCTTTTAGGAAGACACCAATAGTCCTAAAAGCTTGTCATGTGTTATTGAACAACAAATAGCTACTTTTGAATTTGATGCCCCACCCCACCCCCAACACGGTTTCTAATCATCAGTAAGGTGGAGAAGTAGGGCCAGGATGGTAGACAACAACGAAAAATCGCTCCAATTGTACTTTTCTGACATATTAACACAAAATACCTCACATATTAAAAAAAATGGTTTTTTACCAAGTTTTTTTTGTTAAAAAAACCGGTATAAAACCGGTTTTATACCTGGTTTTTTTCCCGGTTTTATACCGGGTTGCCATCCCTATTCTCAATATGTAATACAGTGAAAACTTGTTTGTACCTGATTTAATTATGGTATTAAGGTATTAAGATCTGCAGTTCCATTTGCTACAATTTAATAATTACTAAATGTTTTGTTATTATCTCTATCTGTTTAGGTCAGGGGTCTAGCTGATAATCACAATGTAAGTTAAAATCTTTACTAGCTTCATCTTCTGTCAGTTTTGTACATAATTCTTAGTGTAACTAGTCAATGTTACGTGTATCTCTATGCTGCTAGTCCTATTGAAAAACAAGATGTATTCTTCTTCTTTTGGCTTAGTTTATTTAACTTCTGCTCTGTTGTGTTCAATAATTGTTCTATAATCTAACTAGTTTGTGTTGAGTTAATTACTTCTTGTTCTGTCTCTTTTGTATTATATTTTTCTTTTCTAAACTAGTCATGGATGATCCAGGTGATGCTGAGTTACCCTCTAATTGTAAATTTTGTGGTAGAACCTTTAGTTTAAGGAAGGATTGTATGCATCATGAGAAGACCTGTGTCAAGTTCATTGTCATTCCCCAATGTTCTACATCTTCGCGAGCTCCTGTGACGGAAAATATTCCTTCATCAAGAGATATCCCGGGTGAAAAAACATCGACAGTAAGTTTGTATACAGAGGTATACAAGCAATTGTATAAAGCTGTATAAAGGTAATTGTATTACATTTGGT